TTACGTTACTAAACTACGGTACGACCTAACTACGGTCGTACTTACTTTCTTCTTCTTCTTACTTTCGTTTCTTCCCTACCTACTACGTAAACAACTACTCTCTCTCTCTCTCTCTCTCTCTCTCTCTCTCTCTCTCTCTCTCTCTCACGTGCAAATTGCGTGAATGTCTCTCTTTACGATTCGCTTGGAAGCACACAAGGATTACTTCAAAAAGATCCCACCTTCAAAATATTTATCCAGAAAAAAGACCCCACATGTTTCTTAGATCATTGATTAATTATTTTATTAGTTAATCGTTTTGTCTCTACTTCTTCCTCTGTACTTGACCTTTTTTTGTAGGAGAATTTACTGTTCACATTCAAAAAAAAAGATTTAACTATTTTATAATGATTGAGCAAAACAAGAAATGGCCTAGTGGGATGGGCATTTATCTTCCTAGTCTTAACTACTTGACTAGCAAGTTGCATGCAAGAAATTAAAAATGAATACAAAGGCCAAGAAAATCAGAAGAACAAAACAAAACACAAATGACAAAGCAAGATGAGAAGAGGAAATAACATTAACAAAAAAATATGACAAGAGGAAATATTCGAGAAAATATGCACTTGGGGCATGTGAAAGATGAGAGAGACTCTTTCCGATGTAAGTGAGAGAGAGATTTTTTTACAATTTTTTTATAATTTTTTTGCTTATTTTATGTGACAATATAAAAAAACAATACATGTAAATTTTAAAAAAATTCTACAATTTTTTTGGGATTTTTTACCCCCATTTCATTTTGCAGTATAGAATCGGCACTAATCGGCCAATTTAGTTGGAATCAGTCCGACTAATCGGATCGGGCCATGACCGACTAGTCGGCCTGACTCGTTCTTTTGAACACTAATAAAGAAAGACAGGAATTAGAATTTCAAAAGCCATATGAATGATTGATCATAACCAAGGTTCACAAACTCGGTTCAGGCATTGGACACAGTGCCCCCCCTCCCCAAGCCAAGGAACTCGGGTGAGTCCGAGGGGACCCGCCCGAATAGTGTACGGTCCAAAAAAGCCCTAAAAATAAATAAAACTTTTCAAAACTTGTTAAATAAAATAAAAATGGTAAAAATCATGCTAAACTGAAAACAACATAAGATCCACAACTAAGATGAAAAAAATATAAAAAAAGGGATTTAAAAAATAGCTTACAGAGAGAAAAATCTCAGAAAATCCAAAAAAAAGATATTTTTAATTGCCCTGAGTTTTACCTGAGTACTCAGCTCAGAACAGGGTCAAGTCCGACTGGATGGCCAATTTTTCGATCACTAATCATAGCTACCAACAGTTTTCCAATAATTTGTTTAGTGAACAAACTCTAGTAATATTCAAGACCCAAATTTCCGCCACTCATCAAAACTAAATATAACCAGTCAAGAACCAATAACTCGGCAAGAGACCACCTAAAGAACACAATAACAGAAGCAATTCTAGTTCCAATTACAGAGAACGACAATAAACAGCCTGATCATGTAAAATCTCAACTCAAAGAGTTCTCTGTCCTTCTGCCAAAACACATGACTTGACGAAAACAGCCACAATCCAATTCTCAAGGTAAATATGAGAGAGAGAGAGAGAGAGAGAGAGAGAGAGAGAGTACGTACTACGTAGTAAGTTAGTACTACTTAACTCAGTAGGTAGAAACGCCTAGATAATCATCGCGTCCTCGTAGACGCCACTACACTCGTCCTCCTCTACTGATACACGCCAACCGTGG